AATGAACTCAATACATATTTTGGTGAGACAACTCCTGAACTAAGGGTATGATATTTCTATGTATGTGTGTGTGTGTATAGATTTTTTTTTTTTTTTTTTCGAAAAATAATAGTAGTAATTAACCCAGAACAAGGATAACCAAGTAGCAGTCATAGATTTCACCATCTTCTTAACTCTCCTCTTCAGGTCATTGTCCTGGGTTTTTTTAGCTAAATTTCTTTTTTAATAGCTAGAATAGTGCTGTATTTTGGTTTCAGCATGGGATTTGTTATGAGAGAAAAATTGATAACATGCCCATGTTTTCATTTTGTTGCTGGGAGTTGAAGGACTTCGTGTTTTGTTAGTCTGCAAGCACAGGATCTAGGGGGGGTGAGGAATATTGAAATTAATAAGCTAAACTGGCATTTGGATATGCCAATGGCATATTCCATGTCATGTCCAGTATATTAATGAGGGTCTCTTCCTCTCGCTCTCTCTGGCTTTCTCTCGGGCTCTCGCTCTCCCGGGATTGCGGTTTTGGTTCGGGATTGTCGCTTCCCCGGGATCGTTATCTGGGAACCGGCTGGGCTTGGTCAGCAGGTGGTGAGCAGTTGCCCTGGCTATCACTCATCTCCATATTTTGTTACTGTTATCATTATCACTAATATTTTAAGTTAGTATTATTTTAAGTTTTCTTTTATTTCTATTATTAAATTGTTCTTATCTCAACCTATGAGTCTCCTCACCTTTGCCCCAATCCTCTCCTCTGTCCCCCGGGGGTGGGGGGAAGTGGATGAACGGCTGCGTTGGCTGCTGGCCAAGGGCTTGCCCAGTGAAACTATCACAAGGTTAAAAGATGCTCAGATATTATAACAAGTTGAGCCATAAGCATAGGCACAGAAAATGTATTTTTTCCTGAAATTTAAAAATGTGGCAAATAAATCTTAAAACACTTAAATATACAACATGCTTCCACCTAAGGCTTCTAGCATTATAATGGCAAACAAACAGCACAATTATTTATGTTCACAGGAGATACACTACCTTTTCAGGATATCTGGATTATCATATGTGAGGTAACTGCGACCAATAAATTGTGGGATTTCAATAGCTTCTGTAATGGCTGAAAAGCAAATAAAAAAACAAAGATGAGTGTCAGTTAGCTGACATCAAAACAGAAGACAAAAAAAAGACAAGATTATTTTATTGATTTACTCCTGCACTGGCAGGTACCTGCCGGCAGCACAGAACTGACCTGAACTCACAGCCAGTTCATACTTAAATGTAAGGGCAGTAGTTGAGGCAGTTTAAAGAGCTGACAGTCCCTCTACTTATGGCCTTCAGGTCATGAGCCTAATGTGTTGCTCCACCATAAACAGTGCAGGAAAATATGAAGTATTGTGAAAATGTTGCAAATTTTATTTTTATCCCTGTTTCTACATTTCTTGATTCTCCATGTGGTTCAAGCCACCTTTCTGTCAAAGCTTATGCAATAACCACCCTTTGTTTGGACTCTTAGAAATTCTTCCCCAGCTCCTAATGGAGCAGCATGTGCAGAGCATGTGCTGGGACCTCTCATCCCAGTCACACTTTCCTGTGTGACCTCCTGTAGGTGTTCCTGCTATGGCAGGGGGGTTGGACTAGATGATCTTTCGAGGTCCCCTCCAATCCCCAACATTCTGTGATTCTGTGATCCCTGCAAAGTGAGGCTGCGGGACAACAGAGGCAAACTCTGAGCTCCCCATTTTATCATTTTCCATTTATTTTGTGTATGTTACTTTGCACAGAGCAGCTGCTGCCACACAGGGCTCACTCCTGGGGAGCAGTGCAGGGGAAGGCTAACTCTGGGGAGGACATAGAGGCTGTCCCTCATCACTTTAGGTCTATTGAAAGCAACTGAGACTATGCTAAAGGCTGTATGACAGAGACTGCAGAGCCTCTTGGTTTGTGCCTTTGACATGCTGCAGTGCTGTCTGGGAGGGTGTTTTGCTCAGGTGTCCCACACACAGCATCTCCCATTTCTCTAGGGACAGCCCCTGCTATAGCTGCGGTGTACAGCTGCTGGGACAGCAGCACGCACTGCAACCAGACCTGGAGCTGGTGTGTTGCTGCCCATGGAGAAAACTTCAGCAACGTAACTCAGATGTGTGATATAAATCACTGAACATCCCTGATACACAGCCTTCAGTAAGCTATGAGCACTGGCCTGAACAGATTTTCTTTCAAGTGAACATCCTACAGTTTGCTGTTGATTCCTCATAACTGACTGCTCCATCAATATAAGCCAGTTTTATAAATTCCTTAAAATAGCTTCCTCCATCCTATTTTCTTCCTGAGAACTAATCCCTTCAACCCACAGTTAATCCCATCTATATGAATTTCAAGCTTTTCAGGGCATAGACGCCTGCTTTCTTTCTGCAATGCAGAGGCTGGCTGGGCTTTAAGAGCTCACTGTAACACACATACACAACAACTGGTGTAGTCTGGCAGCCAACAGGAATATGAAATTTTGCTTTAAGTGCCAAGGTTGAGAATTTTAAACAGCGGCAAATGCCTGTTTTCATCCGTAATGAAATCAGGAAAGCTGCCTAATGTGTCTAAAGAAACCATCACAGGCTGACCACAGCCTGCAGCCTGCCAGCATCATTGGAAGACATGTTACACTAGGCCAGAGGTTCCTTGACAGGTCTGACGCTTTCTGCACTGGACAGTCTCTGACCAAGACAGATGATTGCAGAACATGAAAGGAGCCCTTCTTCCCCCATCACATCCCACACCAGCCCTAGAGCCCTGCTGTTCTTGCCTTTGGCAGGGGAAGGTGCCCATGCCCTTGCTCTAGCACTCTGATTTCCTCTACAGAGCTTGACAGGCATTTATCTCTCCCTGCTTTTTTATATGTTCTTCACTTGCTGCATGGAATCTGACCACAGAAACTCAAATAAATTTTAGCAGTACCCTTGATGCATTCAGGGTCTTTGCAAACAGAAGGGAACAGGGCCAGTGAGGATACCTAGGATTAAACACCTTCATTTGCTGCTCATCAGGACTTTCCAGAGAGGCATAAAGCTCTCATGACAAGTGGTAGTGAGCTCTGAACTGCAGGGCAGCCTGAAGTAGCACCCACCTCTACAAAGCACTCATCAGGCTGCATGGCCCCACTGCTTTGTGAATACAGGGACCAGCTCTACAGCTACCACTCTGCACTTGGCAGGTGCTCTGGATGCATTTTAAAATATCAAAAGGATAAGGTTTAAGGAAGTATTGTGTAACCCCAGAAAATATTCTTTCTTACTGCTAGAAGCTTGCCAGGCTTAATGGAAACCCAGCACGCAGCTTGCTAGAGCAGACACAGACACACCATGACAGAGCAGTTTTCACATCATTTGCAGTACTTACTGTTTAGGCAGTAGCTTCCACACTCTGCAGTGAGTCAGCACAAAACAAAACAAGAACATTCTGGTTTTATTTTTCTATAGCATAAAAGCCTCCCTTCCAATGACTGTCCAGTTTCATGCCCACCCTTCTGCAAATGCATGATCCCCACTTCCCTTTTGCATAGACAATTATAAACACCTGTGAAGGTAACACTCTTTTATTAGTGTTTTGCCCAAGTATTTATACTTGTCTGCTCAAAATTTACAAAGATACAGATAGGTAGGACCAGCACTAAATCCCTCTACTCGTCCTAGTTTTAAAATCCCAGTGACTCACCACGGCTTCTGTGGGGATCAGCTCTAATCAGGGGAAAGCAACTGTTCACTGTTCTACTCCATCTTACAATTAACTATAAAAATACCTTTAACATTCCCCACAACGTGGACAGAAGATATAAAACCCAGTAAAGCCAGCAGAAACTATTGAATCCTCAGCCAATGATCCATTACAATGTGAATCAATATCTCAAATACCATACCTCACTCCAGCATCATTTGACTTTTATAAGTGCTATGTATAATTTTGGAGAATGAGGCAGAGCCCCTCACAAGCACTTTATTTTTTCAGGGCGTGGGGTTATAGCAACCCACCAGCAAATGGGACAGAGACTGCACCTGTAGCCTCTCACATACCCTCTGAGCACGTTAACCAAATCCCCATTCTGAAGGAGGTGCGGACACACACGTGCATCCTGCCTTAGCTGTGTCTACACCCTACTGAAGTGACACAGGTAAGGATTATTTTGAGAAATCTGCTCCAGGCTCATCAGAGCTATCTTAGACTGAAGTTCAGGAGGAGGGACCTCCATGCTCTCTGCACATCCATCAGCAAAAACATGGATTTTCGGTGGCAGCTGAGGCTGCCCAAGTGTAGGGGGGTATTGAAAGGCACCTGAAGAGCAGCCACAGGCAGCAGGAACAGAAGACAGATGACTCATGCTTTTGGACACTTTTAAAAATGAAGTAAGGTTGGAATCACATAGGAAGCAATACCCAGGCTCCAGCCTAAGCCAAAGGCACAAGGCACTTCAGGCTGTCTCTGAAAGCCTGGATGCCCATCAGGTTGGGCGAGGGAAGAGAGCATGGCATGCCAGCTGTGTGGCAGTGCTGCCAGTGCCAGGAGGCAGGAGCCATGGGGTCAGCTCGGTACACTGCTCTCAGGGCTTAGCACAGGCCAGGAGCAGCAGATGAGCTGCGAGGAGCTGTGACCCAACCAACACGCAAGAGCCCATTGCATAGGCAGGCAGACACACAACCCAGCTGCAAAGCACTCACTCCCCTTGACTACCCCTGGAGACCTCAGTATTGTTGCAGATACCATATTGAAGTCAGGAGCTTACCACCCTGCACATACCTAGAAAGCCAAAATCGCAATTCTCTCTCCTCCCCGTGGAGAAGCTGGGATAAATGACGTTGCTCCAGCTATTAGTTAGACCACAACAACGTAAGCGAAAGCGTTTCTTGCATTGTATTTTAGTAAAATGTTTTTGTTCTAAGGTATTGTCTTTTTTGGAAGAAAAGGCCAATCTATTAATCACAATTTAACCAAAACCACTACATTGAAGTTTGAAGTCTGTGCCTGTGAGAAATGAAAGCGTGGGTGAAGACAATAATGTCAGTCAGTTCTTTTGAACTGAGTTTGCTGTTAAATTACAAACCCTTCCCTTAGGAATTTTTCAAGATCAAGCCTGACAGAAAGGAAACATCTCCATCTAGTGGAGTAAGTCAAAGCACATTTTACTTAACACTTCATGCAATCTGAACACTTTCCTGAATCTAAGGTTTGAATTATTACAGTGGCTCTGAGGAAAGAAAAACATGTTCATCTGGACAGGTTTTCCTCCATGGTGGTCTCCGTTATCATACCAAGGTAGGGTTTGTGGAGATGGTGACGTTACCATCACAGTAGTCAGTGTCTAAAAAAGGCCTAGACCTTTCTGTATATGAGAACAGCATTTGTTGTGAGCCCTAGAGAGGATAAAATTACAAGGGTTATCAATGCTCATGCTTCAGCACATAACATAATCACTGGCTGGAGGACGTTGGCAGGAATTCCCCTTTGTATAGCACTGCATAATTAGGGAGGTGTACAAAGTGCTCAGTGTTGGCCACCATGAGCAACCAGATACCAGGCTGCTATCTGTGGATCATAGCTCTGTGCTGGGATAATAGTTATGATGTTCCTAAATAAGAAAACTAATTCTTCTCTGGGTACGTGGCATGTGCATGGATGCAAATGGACCTCTGGCTTCTATTTCAAGGGATGTGTACAACAGCAGTTGTAGGTGCTAAATCTCTCTTATTTTTGCAATCAACTCCGGATCTCTGGATTGAAATGCAGACATCGTTACCTTTTTGGCAATGTTGCCCATCAAAGCCCAGGGGACAGTCACATTCGTAGCTGTCCTTCTTGGGAACACAGGTGCCTCCATTTGCACATGGTGAGCTCACACAGGGATGGGCAGCATTAGCTAGGTTGACTCCAAAAGCGAAATCATGTTTCACATCGATTGTCCGGTCATTCAAGATAATCTATGTATTTTAAAAAGAAAAAGAAAAAGAAAAAAAAAAAAAAAAAAAAAAGGAAAAAATCATGCTAAAACCTTCAAAATTTTCAGTATTGCAATGCTAGTCAGAAGACTTCTCTAAAGACTTCAGACAAAGGTAAGCCTCAAAACTTGACTGAAAACCTGTGTCTTGTGATGAGTGTTTTCCAGTGGCAGAGGTTCAACTCATTCTGTTGCTCATCCTAACCTGGTGGAGATGTTTCCTTTGTGTTTTGTGACATAGACTTAGGCAACTCCCATACGGGGTGAAGCTGTGTGGATTTACCAGTCATGTCTGAACACCATTGCAATGCTTCGTAGTGGAGCCATAAACTAGGACTGTAAAATTAGATGAGCATTGCTGAGGAAAAGTGTTTCTGGGCTCTGGAAACCCCCCAGGAGATGAGTGTTGACAACAGAAATATTAAGCAGAACAACTTGTTTTTCACATTTTCTATTGCTTTTTAGTATCTCATCTTGCCTGAAAGAAGCTAGAGTTAAGAATGGATGAAAAACATAATTAATGACTTCACAAAACTGTTTGTATATAAACCAAGGAGAATTGTTAAATGTTGGGATTTTTCCAATGTGTCAACAGCATATGTTCTCCAATACAAACCAGCATTTGTACAATCTCAGCTGTTATCTTGGCAGAGAGATTACTTGCAGGTATGGCTTCTCATCTCAGCTACATCAAAACAAGTTCATTTTCACAAATAAATACATTTTTAAGGCCAGAAGTGAGAATGGCAACAGTTACTTTGGCTTCTGCATTACTCAGACAATGTACCTTAGGGGGTGGTCTATTGTGGGGTTAGATTGCATCAACCATATATACTCTGTATATACTCTGTTTGAAACAGTGTTAAACAAGATCAACAGCAGAAGAACATTCAGTTCTGTCATAAAGATGAACCAGCAAAGAACCCACTACCTTTTCAGCTTCTTTCTAACTTACAGCTGTGTTGTCCCAGCAGTTAACAAGCCCCTGCTCTTAAAAATGTGTCTCTTATTTCTGGGCTTAAACTTATCTGCAGCTTCCAGCCGTTGTTTCTCATTGGTGATGTTTGTAGCTTTATTTCTATACAGTTCTCCAAAATCTTGCTATATGCGAACACAGCAGTTAATTAATACTCTCCCAGTGCTCAAAAGGCAGGCAATACTCTTCCTTGACATCTCATTCAGGCCTCTGGGAAGGCAATTCCACCTTTTTAATTACATCCCAGAAGTAAGAGCTCACACTCAGTTTTTCCCAATCCTTATCAGTGCCTCTGTACTCTATGGTACCACCCCTCACTTAGTAAGTGTGACTTATGTTAATTGCTCTTAGACTCCCTATCTTGCTCTCCAAAATGCACTGTATGTAGTCAAGTCACATTTCCAAAGATGTTTGGGTGAATGTTCCCATCATCATTACACACTCCTCCGGTTTTATTGAACATCATGTTTTCTGCTAGGCAGAAAGACTTTACAAAGACAGTGGAAAAAACTGGATGACGTAATAAAACCATTTACACTGAATACCCTTCTGCCCTTGATAAATTGTTCTGAGATGCATTATTAGGGTTTTTTTTTAAAAAAAGTTAATTAAATTTGATGATGCAATAATCCACTCCTTTAAAACTGTGAAGATTCAGGGCCAACCTTCCAGTTTCATCCAAATTATTTTAAGTATGTCTAATCTAGGGAGAGGAAATGTTAGTTCAGTTTGAACTTTCTTTTGATTACTTATTAGGACTTACTATGTATTTACAGATTTATTCTCCAGAAGAGAATTGCACCCATGCACAGCTGACCCCACTGGAACATCAACCCTAAAGTCTGCCAGCAATGAAAGAGATCTTCTCCATTCATGTGTCCCATATACAATTGCAAGAGGGGAACGCAGTGAGGCATGGAACTGCTGTGTGTCATAAGGACATGCTAGCTGGACTGGAAGCCACTGTAATTTGCAGCTTCTTCTTCACTCCTTACTGTGTTGGTTACATCAGACATTTAGCTGCCTCAGTCGGCATACCTTGAAGTATTTGAGTACTTCTTCTGTTCATTTATTTATATATGGTGCTGAAGGGCACTCTGAGGGCTCTAATCTTGATATAGCTTCATGCATCATTCTGAACTTGATCCCATATGCCTTCTGCTCACTTCTTAGTACAGTATGGAAATTCTGGCAGTGATCATATTTACTAGCTATTAAAGTTAGAATGACTTTTCACTGTGAAATATGTGTTTAAGCACTTTGTGGTGTGGGCCTGAGGTGAAATCTTGGTTTATTCTGAATATTTCCAGTGGTATAAGGGCAGGTTTCCATCTAAAGGGCAGGTTTCCATCTCACTGGATGAGATGGAAATAAATGCCTGCAGGATGTTACTCTGGGCATGTACCTTCTGGATGCTCCCGCTGAAGGGCCTCAGGATCCCAGAGTTCTTCTTCACAGCATCATAACTAGGGACTCCGCCAATAAATATTTCAGAGCTGCACTTAATCTGTGTGAAAGCCCCCTGCAAGACATATAGGAATAACATTTTATCAGAGTAGCTGGAATCACACTTGTATCTTCAGATTAGCTTACATTAGATGTTATAGCTCACTTTAATGCCTCTTTACTTCTGTTAATTGCATTTCTTTGTACAATTCTCTCAAGAAAGCCACCGTAGGACACTCTACTGACTATGCTTTATCCTAATAAGAACTAGATGAAACATCTCAAGTATTCAAAATGGGGAATACTGAAGGAAGAAAGAAAGGAGACTGACTCACTCTGACATCTGACTGCACATCTACCTCTATTTGCAATGACTTGAGGAACATTGATGTGAACCTAGAACAAGAATGAGGCTCATAAATTTAAAATCAGAGCAAAGTCCATGGAACAGAGACTCATTTAATGTTTCCAACATCTGAAAGGCTAATCCATAGAAAGACATGGGATTAAATGGAAAAAAAAAAAAAAACAAAAAAAAAAAAAACAAAACAAACAAACAAACAAACAAAAAAAACATTGAGTTTGCAATAGTTACCAGGAGCAGTTGCTCAGCATACCTGATGGGACTAATCAGGGTTCTGATGAAATGGATGTTTAACAGCTAAAGACAGGACAACTGTGTAATTCCAGTGCTGCAGAAGCTCCTGTGATTTCTTTGTTGGTAGCTCCCAGCCAACCCCCTTCTGCAGCTGCATTGCAGCACTTGGAGAAAAAAAATGACCCAACTATTAAAGAAGTCTTGACTACTCTGTTTGAATGTTTCCCATCTAATCTGTTTCTTGACAGACAAATGGAATTTCAATTTATTTAAGTTTTTCAAGAAAAGTCTATGCTTTAAATAGTTTCCCAGTTTGCACAAAAAGCTGGAGATTCTTCTGCTAACAGAATCTGGAGTTTGGTTTTCTTGGACGCTATTCTTTTCCACTAGAAAAAAGACATTTTCTAAGCAGTTCTAGCCTCGGGTTCTTGGGATGAAAAGCATCTCTGTGTATGCATTTGAGTACTTAAACTGAATATCCTGCTCAGTGTAAGCAAAATTTCACCTTATTAAAAAATTGAGTCACTATGAGCTCTAGGTGAGTGAAGAATAAAATGCAAGCCATCAACTGTTGGGGTATTCCAGCCCTTACTCTTTCCTGAAAATTACTTTTGGAAGGAAAAAACAAATAAATAATTCTTTTCTGGTCTCCTTTCCAGCACAATATCCAGAGGAGGTAAAAACAGGACTTTCTGCACATAATTTCCAATTTCATCCTTCTCCAGATGACTCATTTGATAGAACATACATTGTTCAATGGACTTAGCAACAACCTGTGAATACCAAGAAAGAACCTCAAGAACATGTATGAAACAAACACAAAATTTGAGTCCAGGCAGACTCACAAGAGCATGTCAGATTGTGATTTCAGCTGTCTTTACAGGATCCCTGTCCTCAGAGGGAAGACTTTATGTGCAAATTTACCATTTTGGGCTTAAGAAAAATGTTCCTCTAACGTGTATACTTTTTTGAGCTTACAAGAGCTCTAAGAGCAGCCCGTGTAGTTTACTATGCAAACATTTTATAGTCTAACAGACGTATTCATGACAACCCATGCCATATGCTCACCTCTGCCATCCCTTCCACTGGATTTTGCTTGTCCACTTGTAGGATACCATTCTTTGCTGTGCGAGAGACTCGCAACTCATGCCACTGCCCCAGACTGACAGGTTCATCACTCCTGTTTTAAGGGGAAGAAAACTTTAAAATATTTTGCACTTTTGCCTTACTGATATTTTCAAATATCGTTGTCATGATTAAAAGTCAAGTCCTCTGGTGAGATTTTCTAAATAAAAAATAAAAAATAAAAAATAAATCACTGTGTTTCTTTCCTTATACGGAAGCAACAACTTCTGAATCCCATCAGAAAAGGAAAATAAGATCATGTTCCTATAGCAAATAACAAGCACTCTGATTTTATTTGTAAATGAAACATTTCTGTAATCAGCATGCGACACATCTCTCTCTGAGCTGATTTTTTTGCTCAGCCATTTATAATGCATGAAGACAAATTTTTGTCTCAGCTGTACATCCTCATTTCACAATGACATAAGCCTGGAGACAGAGCTTCCCACTTAACGGTCAGTGTAGTCCCACATTCTTTGTCCTCTCTTGAAACAGAACGACTTTGTGTTGGCTTATCAGCTCTATTTATGCGGCCTGTTACACTGACATCTATACACACAGGATCAGCCCGGCTGCTGTACATTAAGGGGAAGTAACTAAAATATGATCTTAATGAAGTGATGAGACCACGGCTAGGAACAATAATCCCCAGTTGTTCAAAGTATTCACTAGTCTCAAAGGATGCATTTTAAAACTATTCTTACAATCTTTATTAGTTCAGCACTCACATGAATAGCAGCCTGTATAAAGGACAAAACCACATTCCCTTTTACAAGTTCTACAGAACTTTATATTTGTTTTCAAATGTCATTTTACTACACTGGTTAAAACATTTTATGTCTAAATGTTATCTTGCAGCCTTTCCTCTGGGAGCAATGAAAACTTGTGCTTGATTCACTGGTCAAGCTGGAAAAATCAGAAACTGTGTAATCTGGGACACCTGAAGACTTTCTAGCTTTCAATGAAAAAGTACAAATTGTTTTGGGTAAAGTAATGTTTCATATTTTCAGGCTACTTACATTTAAAAATTAAAAAAAGATACATTTCAAAATAAAAGAACTGAAAAATTGTGATTTGAAATAGTGAGTCAATAGCGATTCAAATGCTGATTAAAAGGGTATATAATTTTGAAAATGTGAAAATAGCAAATTCATTCATCATCGTTATGGTATTTAGGATTTAACTGCCTTGGGTAAATCAATAGGCAATAGAATTTAATCACTTTGAAGAAGTCAGCATATACATACAAAGGAACCAGGTAGGTTTAGCTACCTAGTAAGAGGCAATACACACATTTTCTCTCCTCTGCTGATTAGGTCATCATCATGTTAACCCTCCTGCTCTGCTAGATTTAATTACAATTAGGGTTGATTAAGCCTTGCAAAGTCATCACTTCAGAGTTGCATCTTATTTCTTGTATTACCAGGCTATTTGAAACCAGCACGAGTTTGGTAATGCTTTCTGCAGGCATTTGAACACTTCTGGCTCTTAATGCACCATGGGGTTAACAATTACTTCTCCCCATGTAAACTGAACCTTAAAAAATACACCAAATGATGAAGATCTTGATCCTGTGAACACCTGGCCAAGAGAAATCCCAGGGCACAACAAATTCTTCTCTGAGACACCTTGGTAAATAGCTTAGGTTCTGCATCCGTCTATCCGCTCGGCATCCCTGTTTCCCCTGTGGACACAGTGCCGCCTCCATTCCACAACACTTCAGGCAAATCCCAAGCTTCACCAGCGTCAGCTTTCCTACTGCTGCTGCTGCCATACATAAATGAATTTGTCTCATCCTTAATGATAAAGACATGATAATTGTGTTCTGATTATATATATATATATACACAAAATATATATTCCTATGGAAGAGATAGCCAGGATGACCAGAGTTATATCCTTGTTTAGGACAAAGGGTAGATGTGAAGCAGTATGACGAAGATCATGGCAGACTTTTAAGAAGATATTGGCTAAACAGGCATGAAAACCAGGGAATCTGCATATCTCATTTAATCACTGACAGAGCTGATGACAGGGTGTACGCTGCACACGTTATCTAGAAAAAGGCACTAACAGGACATCCTGACAACTGTCAACAAAGCCTGCCTGCCTGGCGGGTCTCCCCCATTACCCAGCTATCACACCACGCTCTTTCTCCCCAATGCACATGATGCAGGTGCTGGCTGGTGTCCTGCTTACCTTTCTGCTTTCCAATAGGAAAGGGCAGTTTCCACTCCCAGGCACATGCATATGATCTTGTCACTTTTTACAAGTGCTTGTTAACTTTAGTCAAGGTTGCTTTTAAGTATACAATATTCTTGAGGGGAAAAAAAAATGATGTCTAATGTCTTACAGTTGTCATTAATAGGGATTAGACAGTTTTACTCAGAAAGAGATTGAAGGCTGTTGTAAGAAGGGCCATTTTGGGTTGGAGCAAAGGTCTCTGACATTAGCTATTTCTGACACTTCCAGCAAAAGAAAAGAACAGTGCAAGTATGGAGTGATTCTTCCCTTGATATATCATCCTGGCTTCTGGCAACTTGTCATTTAGCAATTTCCTGAGTCAGAGGCTGCATCCGTACAATTGTGTTTGATCTCCCTCAATGGAGCTTTCTTCAAATTTGCTGCCTTTTTTTTTTTTTTTTTTAGACTATTTATACTTCTGGCATCTGTAACACGCTGTGACAACTAGTTTCCACAACTTATTTATGTACCGTCTGAAAAAAAAGTCTTATTTTCTTTGTTTGCTATTTTTTGGTTTTCAGTTTCACTGGGCTCCTTCTAATTCTTCCATATTGAAAAAAATACATAAAAATCACTTTTTATTTATCTCAATGTAATTCGCAATCTAAAATCCTCTATCATACTTCCACCAAATTCTTTTTCAGGTTGAAGGCTCCTGCTGTGTTTGTGGAAGCTGTTTCTTTCCCACTTCTGGATATCAAAACTACTCTTCTTTTTTAATTTTACTAATTTCATCTGAAATGAAGCGACCAGAATGGCAGCAAGTTTTCAAGACAGGGTGTATTGTGGAGTTTTTCAGTAGCGTTGCCCTTTATTGCATTCCTAATAATTCTCTGCATTGTACTTGCATTTCTGTACTTGCTGCTGCTTTCACAGAACTGTCCATGATGACTCTAGGATCTTTCTCTGTCTGACAACACTAACTGTATTGCCACAGCTGTGGATTGTTAGCATTGTGCATTATTTTGCATTTGCTCCTTTGAAATTTCATCTCTCAGATTGTCATCTGAATGGGCTTGTTTGCTTGAGTCATCATTCAGTGGAAAATCAGGACATTTCTCCTAATTACAGTACAGCCAAAATTCCTGATGTCCATCCACAGGAAACATATGGTATGCGAGACTTGCAGGCAGTGTACACATTTTGCATAAGGTTTATATAGATTATTTCTAAATATTAGGTCAGCCTGGTCAAACTGGCAGCCTCCTGGACCACATCCAAGGTAC